GATTTCGGTAATTTAATATAAATTATGCTTATTAATGATCAACTGAGTAAGATTCTCTGAAGAAGATAAAAAAAGATCGAAAAAGATGGGAGTTAAGTATTTTTGAATAATAAAATCCAGTTTTAAACCACTGTGCGATGCTCCGACGCCCGGCGTCCCGACGCCCGGCCTCCAGATGTTAGGGGTCCTGACCTCCGGGCGTCCGGACGCTTCGTTTCCCGAATTGAGGGCTGTAGGGATTTATGACTGTAAAAACTAATTTTTACACCACTGTGGTAGTCGAGACTTTCGAGATGAGACGAGACGGTACGCGGTGCTTTGAGAGGCGAGATTGCGGTTCTCGTCTCGAGTTGCGCGAGACGAGACACGGCGGGACGATACAAGAAATTGTCGTCTCGAACGGCATCACTAATCTTATTATGTGGCTTCTGGAGCATTAAATCAAAACAATGTCCATCTTGGGGCACTCTGTCCTATGTTTTAAGAAATAATACTTGATTAATTTCATAAAATTCTTTATCAAATATTTTTAAACCATTGCACAATAAATTCCGTAGCTACATTAATTTATTTCTTTCTGTTGGTATTGTTGCTTATAATATGCTTGAAAAATAATTTTTTGTAATAAAGTAAACGATAAAGTTCATTTAGTTAAATAATCTTTAAACCTGCCTCTGCATTAATTGTTCAAGTACTTGACACACCCTTTTTTAGTTTTCTATTAAGATAAGTTAAACAATAAAAAGTACTTATCTAAAAATTAATCTTTATCTTACATAATGCCAGATTATACCCCGAATGAAATAGTAGATATTATCCTCGTACTTGGAGAATGCCGAGGTAATTATGTACAAGCTGCAGAATTATATCGTAATCGCTTCCCCAATGTAAGGCACCCGAACGATCGTACCATTGCGAGACTTGTAGAACGTCAACGCCAAAGACCAGTTTGTCCGCGACAAAGACGACGAAATAATATACCAGAGAGAGATGATCCACAAGTGCTTGCAGTGTTAGGTATGATAGCAAACAATCCTCATATTAGTACACGAGAAATTGGAAGACAATTAGGTTTTCCAAAATCCACGGTGCACCGAATATTGAAAGTTCATAGATTGCATCCTTACCATATAACTTTGACACAATTGCAAGCCGGAGACTTCGAAAGAAAGCGTCTGTTTTGTAGATGGGCACAATGATACAACAAGATCCGGAATTTTTTCATTACGTCTTATTGATGAAGCCACTTTTCATAATACTGGTCAACTTAACAGGCACAATTGCCATTATTGGTCTGTAGAAAATCCTCATTGGCATCGTGAAGTGAATCATCAGCAACGTTGGAGTTTGATCGTATGGTGAGGTATTGTCAATGGAAACTTGATTAGACCTTATTTCTTCGACGAAAATGTAAATAGTCACAACTATTTACAATTTTTAATAAATAATTTACCGAAATTGCTCGAAAATGTTGATCTACACACGAGAGTCCGCATGTGGTTTCAGCAAGATGGTGCACCTCCTCATTATGCCAGGATAGTTCGTG